CTTAGCAACCGAGTACAAAGGTCGTAACTAGTAGAGATAATTGTTTGCTTTATTTCTTTATTTACTCTTCTATGTTTTAGGAAAAATATGTTTAAGAACTTATTTCAAAATAGCAATAATCTATAGAATGTATAATAATTGAAATGTTACTGTATTTTACAAAATACTAGTTGACTAAAACACAGCCAAGACAAGTTGCTTTGTACAGACAAAAGGTCACCTTATTTTATTTGATACGGTAACATGAGTGCACGTGAGCCACGTTATTGTATAAATGTATACTGTTATGAGATTTAAGCTATTTAGTCCAAACATTTATGTTTTCATGTTATAATTTGTGTTCATTCTAGAATGAAAGAGCCACAATTTATATTTATTTCCTAACTTTTTATGGTGGTTGCTAGATCGGTCAAATCTACCGAACCCGTACAGAGATTAATTACTGAAAATAACAGATAAAATATATAGTTTTTTCTTAAGAAATGTTTGATAACTATCCGGACATTATAAAGATTTCACATGTGAAATTTCAAAATTTTCTGATGCATGATGGAGAGGCAAGGTGTCAAAAAAAGGCATGAAAGAAACATTCCTTTACAAACCTTAAGACTTAAAAAAAATGTTAGATATTTTGTGTATGAAAGCATTATAATGTTTACTGATAATCTGCCAAATTTCATTAACATTTATGTACTAATTTAAAAGTTGTAGCATGAAAACTATAACTAGCACAAAATGGGCTGAAAGAGTTAACTAAAAATTAGAAGGAGTTTCTCAAAGGATCATGAATTATTGAGGAACCCCACGAATGTCCGAGTGTTTGTTAGACGCCCTCTTTTTTAGTATATAAGCCTGGCGAGAAAAACCAGCGGGATTGAAGAGATAGATAATTGAGTCAAGCAAACAAGTAAAATGTGTGAATTGCTGTGATTTATAGCATGTGTTATAAAGGTTGTTAAGTTTAAAGTGACTGGAAATTCTGTGTATTACTAAAATTTGTTTCGAGAAAGAATAAATTAGTTTTAATCAAGAAAGGACTTGTATCGCTGAAGTTTCTCTGGAAGAATTTCTACCGGAAATATTCAAACGAGCAGATACGTAACAGTATACGTAACAAATATTTCTTGTTTTTCATGTATATTCATTGTTGATTGATATAAAAATAACTAAAATGTAAAAGTTAGAAATTTGTTAGGTTAGTTAAAATTAGATTAGGTAAGATAACAAAAAGTAATAGAAATTTTTTACAAGATATGCTTATGAACAGCTCATGCATTATGTAATTCAATATGGTAATGTTAGCTACATGTTTGCCATGTAGTTTACAACTTGTGTGGCAGAATTATTAGTTAGACAATTGAAAGGGCAATAAAACAATAAAATCAAGTATAAGCACATGTATACTGTTATGAGCTTTAAGCTATTTGGGATAAACAACTGTTGTTTCATGTTACAATTTGCAGTCATTCAAGAAAGAAAAAACATAATTTAGGTTTATTTCTTATTTGTTTTGGTGGTTATGAGGTTGGTCAATTTGACTGATTGCATATAGAGTTAGGGTAAAGAAAATATAAAGTGTTACTGAAAAACAAAAAACTGGATGTTTATTATGGAGGTTTTAGAAATTATGCAAATAAAATCTCAAAATTTTCAGATAAAGAAAAGTATTTTTAATCTTAACATGAAAATCAATTTGCACTCGGAGCAAACAAGACTGACTAAATATATTCACAGACAAAAATTTAATAAAAATATATAATTCAAAAATATGATTTAGCTGTACATTAAGATCATCTTAAGTAGACTTGGTTTGTTTTCATTATTATTAAATACAAAACTGTTACAAGTTTCATGTGCATTTTTGCCTATGCTACATGTTTGACATATATATTCCATTTGTCAGAAATAGATGCATGAAATTAGATATCTTTTGTTAACTGGATGTCATTAAATACCATTTATTAACTATAGGTTTGCAACATGATTGTATTTAAATGTTTTGTGTTTAACAAAACATAAAATCTATCTGTCCATTTTGCTGGTATTTTGACATCACAACTTCAGGTGAGGAACTAACTGAATCAATTTTGAGGAAATATGGTAGGGTAACTGAGGTATACTACCCCAAAAGTCAAGTTTAAATGGCTAAGCATTCATTTCTGTTTTTACTGTGGGAAGCCAGTGGTAAATAAAAGTGAGTGATATTTAATGCCTTGAGTAGGCATGAGTTTGTGCAATGATTGCACCACACTGAGTAGATCTGCATGACAAATGATGCATGACACCTCACCCAGTGAAATAAACATCTTGTGAGGGGAGGATACATTTGTTAATAGCTAATAAAAATCTTTTAATTTTTCTTTTTTCTGTAGTTAAAAATGAAAAATATGATGTTACTTATTTTTGAAGTGCAGAAAAAAAACAACAAAGAGTTAAAACTAACAATCTTTGTTGAAAAGCATGCGAGTCAGTAGATAAAAGTCTAAGTAGAGAAACTTATAAAAAAAATGTATGTCTGTGTTTTGATGACATTAACATGCTTCCCATATATAAGACGTATCATTATTTTTGATTTATTTATTGTGTGTGTTTCACATTGTATATAGCTTAGGTTTGTCATTCATACTATTATTTTGTGCAACTTGTATGTTAAATTGTTCTTGGGTCAGTGAAATTTAAAAGGAAAACTATCTCTGTAGGTACAACAGTGAAACTGTACATAGTTGATGTAGAATCTGAGGATATTTTGTGCAACTTGTATGTTAAATTGTTCTTGGGTCAGTGAGATTTAAAAGGAAAACTATCTCTGTAGGTACAACAGTGAAACTGTACATAGTTGATGTAGAATCTGAGGAAATTTCAGCTCCAGTCACTCTCCGCAGTCATTTGAGTCAGACTGTAGAGGAGTTTAGGGAACAAGTGGCACAGGTTAGACAACACTTTTACTTTGCTGCTAAGTCTGAAAGTTGTTTTAGTGACATATTTATGTATTGTTAGACTGTTGTCTCTTGTATGTATTTATTAAATATTTTATTTACAATTTTGGTCCATCTAAAGTTAGTATTTGTAGCTTTTTCTTTATAATTCTTTTCACTTGAGTATATTTATTGTGATTTTTAAATGTGGTCTGAGCTGAGCTTAATATATTTAATAAATTTTCAATAAATTGCTTATTTGTTTATATTGATTTTCTAGGCATTGGGCTTGTGTTCAATAGAAAACACTCGTTTAGTGTTAGAGCGATACTACAATGACTTGAGACTTCTGGAAAATTCCAGTAAAACACTAAAGATGGAAGGATTTTATCGCAGTAATAAGGTACTTGTTCTGTTTAACCTTATCAGTTCCAGCCGATTTAGGTTGACTAAACTTTATTGTGCTTATATCAAAAACTGATAAATCTACTGTGTCTCTTAACATTAAATTTGACAGATATTTTTTAAATAGATAGAAGCTACTGTTATAAAAAAAAATCAGTTTTTGGTCTGATGTTTGTGATTTTGAAATTTCATGGTTGTTTTTATGGAATAGTTATATATACCCAAAAAGTATTCTCTCTTCTATACTTCTTTAAAAACTTTTTAACTTTCTTTTTTTATACAGTCAAGTTTTATTGCACAGAAACTATGAATTTTTTGTTTATGTGAAGTAGCACCAAATATGTGATTCTTTTGTCTAAACATAAACCAATAACACACTATGAATAAAAAAAAAAAATAAAATCAAATTTTGTTTTTCTGTTTTTGTCTAGAGTGCTTCATTTTTCATATTCAGATAGTTTGAAATCATTTAATATTTATAAAATTATTTTAATTTGCACAAGTGAAAAGTAGATTTGACAAAGAAACAATCAAAACTGCTGCAGAATGAGGTGAACGTGTAGGCCAGATATCAATCATCAGAGCTATTGTTATCAGGAATGTACTGTTGCCTAACTTAGTGTTTTGCAGTGAGCACTTACAGACTCATGGATTCACAATACATTCTAAAACACAAGTAAAATATCAGGCAATAATAAGAGAATAGCACATATTATGAAACGAATGGTGCTTTTGATTATTCTTGAAAAGTTTCGAAGGTCTGTTGTGAAGTGAATAATTTGTAACATGCAAGCTTTCCATTTCACATGCATTTGGTTGCCAACAACTATCTACACTGTTTCAAAGTTTATACCTCTAAATGTTTTGTAAATAGAACTTCAAAATAATATGTGATTCACATGGCTACCAAACATGCAAAAAAGTGTGTGAAGCATACTAAAGGTGTGCAATAAAAATATATTTTTTGTTTTCCTTCCTTATTCCACCACTTGATGTGTTGTGGTACGATGTAACTTGAACTTGGTTGGTGGTGTCAGTCATGGTTATTACATAGAGTGTTAACTGCTCCATCCAACGTATTTTCCGAGTTGTCTTACTCTTGTACTGGACAGTCTACTATCACATTTTTTGCTTTTCCACACATATAGCAGTATTGATCTATTTCCAACACTTTCTAGAAATTTTCATTTCTAACTCCATCTCTTCTTTTGTATAGCATTTAGGTTTGATGCTGGTAATAACATAGCATTGGTGGGAATACTGCATCTATCAAATACCACTTAGTGTCTATTGATATTGCTGAGTGTATCAGCAGTGGACATATCTTGTATTACAAAGTCTAAAGTTCAGTTGCTGTAGCCACTTGCACTTCAAGTGAGAGCAAATATGAAGTTTGTAATTATTGTTTTAGCAGTTTCTTTTGAAATGCCTTCCAGTGGCACAGTAGTATGTCTGCAGACTTACAACACTAGAAACTGGGTTTCAATACCCATGGTGGGCAGAGCACAGATAGCCCTTTGTGTAGCTTTGTGCTTAACTACAAACAAGTCTTTTGAAATAAAGGAATAAAAACTTAAATAATATAAGACTTTGAATCATAACGTACTTGATAACACTAATTTCATTAAAATACATTGATAGTAAAATGTTTTAATTAAATTTGAATATAACTCAGTAACACTTTGTGACGTGCAGAAAGGGATTAATAAATGGTACCAGGGTTATAGGGATAGGTCACACTAGCTCGCAGGGGCAACAACTATCTTTAACTATATAGGTCACACAAGCTCACAGGGGCAACAACTATCTTTAACTATATAGGTCACACAAGCTCACAGGGGCAACAACTATCTTTAACTATATAGGTCACACCAGCTCACAGGGGCAACAACTATCTTTAACTATACAAGTTACATCAGCTTACAGGGGCAACAACTATCTTTAACTATATAGGTCACAC